TCCATTTTCAATAGTTATGGGCCCTTCAAATTATTTAAGTAACGGCTTTAACCAAAGAGATAGATACACCATACATCTTCAACTTTGCAATCTTAAATATTTTTTTTATCAAACATAATCGTAGAGATAACCCTACATTCAAGACGTGTCAGTCTACGTATTTGTCTCACGTTTTATGTATATACGCGTCTGTGTATATGTCAGTAACCGACACTAAACATGATAATCCTATATTTAAGATGTGTTTGTGTCTGATACTAAATATGATAATCTTATATTCAAGATGTGTCTGGGTATATGTCAGTGACTACTGACAGTCACTAAACATGATAACTCTATATTCAAGATGTATTTGTGTCTGATACTAAATATGATAACTCTTTTTATTAGGATTCGACTTAATTTCGATTGGTTTAGCTTAATTATTTTGATTGCAATTTAATGATAGAAATTCTTACTGATTCAAAGATAATCATCAACATAGGGATTGAGTGGGTGGTGGGAATATATATATATATATATATATATATATATATATATATATATATATATATATATATATATATATATATATATATATGCATGAAATCAGCTTATGATTGAAAGAAGTTATGTTTCCCTAACTACTGCAGAAGATTCCATATGTTATCAAGTTACAATCATAATTTTGTTGAATGCTCTTTCTCTATAATTATTTATAATAATGTTCTAGAGTGTTGTTTTCTTACTCTCCTTTTTGGTTAATAATAACACATAATGAATTCTTTAATTTAGTCATTTTCTGCTTTATGAAGACAGCAATTAAGGGAATTTTAATCAGAATCTTTGCTTTGGAGTTTGAACAAATGAATATAGTATTTACCATTAGATTTTGTTTTCTTTTTTATGAGATCGCATGAATACCGTGCTCTTAATTATTTATCTGCATGTGCTTAATTAGTTAGACAAACTTAAATCATAAGAAAATTAAAGGAAGAGAAAGAAAAGACATCAAGCAGCTAATCATAAAGTGTTGTATTCAATTATTAAGATTAGTTCCATATAAATTATAAATAAATTTACTGTTGAATATATAAAAGAGATGGTATATATTTTCAATGACCTATATTAAGGAAGAGACAATTAGCCATTTTCCTATGAATATGATATTTTTAGGTCATCATAAGGACAAATTTGTCACTATTTGTTATTGCATATAGATTAATATTTCTGAAAATTTTGTCCTTACAATTGTAAAAATGTATTTGCTGATGCACAAAATTTTAGATAAATTTTAATATCAAATCAAACTTTTAAGATGATAGGAGACTCTATTTATATTCATGATTCATTGCTATAGAGTATTTAAGTGGGTGGCTTGGGTTGGGTATAGAGTCTTTAGGAGACTTTATTCAACAAATCATTTTGACTTATTTTAAGATTTCAGTCATGATTTTGAATTGACATTCTTTGGTTTAAACTATTTGAAAAATGAGAAGCAAAATTATTTTTGGTTGGGAAAATTTATCGGTTAATTATTTGATGTATGAGATTATTAATCTGGAGTGGAAGTAGATTCAAACTTATGCTTCAGGTTTTGTTGTTTCACTGATTGAATGAAAGCAAGATCCGCTCAAGTGGTTGGACAGTTAGGGGTGAGTTGAGTGTCCAAGATAGTTGGGGCAATTGTTTTAATTGGTGTTTGATTTGTTGAAAGCATAATTTTTTGTGTCGAAACAGTTTGCTCGACAGAAACAAGAAAGTCTATCGAAGTGTGAAAACAGTTTGTTAGACACGATTTTGATTTAGGTCTAAAATAAATAGATTTGATTTAGTTCTAAAATAAGTATTTTGGAATTTTATAGTTTTGAGCTTTGCCTTAGAGAGCAAGCTAACCTAAATCTATAAATAGTAAGAGTAAACCCTATTTTTTGTAATCAAGTTGTTTTGATAGAATTTGCAGTTGCAAGTGAATAAGAAGTTTTCAACAGTTTGTGGACAGAGAGAAACTCTGTAGAAAATCATTGTCTTTCTTTCATTTATATTTTTCATCGTTATTGTGTGATGATAACAATCTTGTTCATCAAGATTGATAGAAATTTATAATAGAAATTGGTGGATTTCTAACATCTAGTATTAGAGTCTGGTTCGAGAAAGGGACCGGCTTTAGTTCGAGAAAGGGACCGACTTAGTATCAAAAATTCCAAGAAGAGGTGTCATATTGCAAGGTGTCAACAACGGTACAAGTGGGGGAGCATTATAGACTCACACTTGAGAGGAAGTGTTAGAATAATAATGCAAGTGTGAGTAAGTGGGGAAATAGTCCCACATTGGATAGGAATATGGTGACTTAAGAATATATATGTGGGAGAACCCACTCACCTATTACCTTAAGGTTTTAGGTGGATAAGTGGTGTATTTTTCACAAAGGTGCTTAGTCCTCAACTTTGTATCAATGCTCCTAATGTAAACTCTCTCCAACAAATAATATTAAAGTCTGGTTTATCTTGGTTCCAATTAGATCTAACACTCTCTCTCACTTTCTCTCTCTAGAACTTATCGACTTTCTCTCTCCTTCTCAAAACTTTATTGAATCTACACAGGTGTACGAAAACTGTGGGTTCGTGAGGAACCATGGACCAGGTTACACGTTTGGGAATTGGGGGTGCACCTAATACTTGTTCCTGTAAAGCATTATATCACCGAATATTCGGGAAGTGGACTCACTCGAAACAAGTGAGCGTGTTTAACATGCACCAGTTGGATTGGACATGGCTAGTTGCGTAACTTTCACGCGGAAAGTTTAATGGAATGGACTTTGATGGTGGGGAGTTTCGTTTGTGAGAATTTGAAAAGTTTTCGCAGACGGTGTCTCTCACAAAGGTGTATAGTCTTCAACTTTGTATCAATGCTCCTAATGTAAACTCCCCCAACAAATGGTTCAAGAGCTCCGGTTGAGCGATCAAGGAAAGAAGAAGAAAATCAATCTAGCGAAAAACCTGATAACACATGGTCGAAGCAATCACATCGATTTGAGGTTTCATTATTTTCTAGAGCGGGTAGTAGATGGAAAGATGAACTTGGAACACTGCAGAACTAAGAATCAGATTGCAGACATTATGACTAAGGGTGTGCAAGTCGAAGTATTTCAAAGACTAAGAGCTATGATGAATGTAGATAGCTTAGACACAATGAATTAGGTGGTGTGTTGAAAGTATAATTCCTTGTGTCGAAGCAGGTTGCTCGACAGAAACAAGAAAGTGTCGTATTAGTCTATCGACGTGTGAAAATAGTTTGTTACACACAGATTTGATTTAGGTCTAAAATAAATATATTTGATTTAATTCCAAAATAGGTACTTTGGTCTTTTATAGTTTTGGGCTTTGACTTAGAGTGTAAGCTAACCTAAATCTATAAGTAGTAGGAGTAACGCTTATTTTTTATACTCAAGTTGTATACACAGAATTTGCAGTTGCAAGTGAATAAGAAACATTCCACAGTTTGTGAGCATAGAGAAATTCTACAGAAAATTATTATTATTTTTTTTTTCTTTCATATTTTTCATCGTTATTGTATGATGATAACAATCTTATTTATCAAGATTGATAGAAATTCATTATAGAAATTGGTGGATTTCTAATATAATTTACTTCTATTGTGGTTGTATGGTTTTGCTTTTATGATTGTTTCACATAATAAAACTTTCTTTTTTAAAAAGGGTTTAGTCATTTAAATTTTAATCTTTTGAAAAAAAATGAATTAATAGTCAGTGTTAACTTGTTTTGCTTTTTATATTCCTTCACTGTAACTTTCAATTAATTAATCTTATAGTTTTCTTGTCTCCCTTTTCTTCCCCTTTTTCCATCAAAAGATGAATGATGTTTTTCTCAAAACTTTAACCAATTTATAAGCAAAAGCAAAGAGCAAGTTTTCCCCGGGTAAAGCAAATGTCAAGACTTGACAGATGGACCCTTCTAAAGTTTGGTACAATGCAAAAGTAATTATTTAACATTATGATGCATCTTGGAACAATTTTTTTGGTCCTTGGATGAATGGTAAATTTCGCCATAAATTCATAAAGATAAAGTAAAACATTTTAGATTTTAATTTAAAATTTCAAAAAATTATTTAATCTACTAATATTCACGTTTTTCATCTGAAACGATTTTTGTGATCTATGAAACACGAACACGGACATAAATACTATACATCACACTGATACATCAATATTAACAATAATTTTAAAAAATAAATAAATTTAACATAATCAAAAGTGTCTGTGGTGTCAAGGTTTGAAAACTGTTATGTGTACCTGAAATATAATTCTATGAGTGTATCACAATCAATCACATTTAAATTTTCGATTAAAATCAGACAATTTATATTTCATATTTAAAATTTAGACGGCTCGATTAGACCGTCTAAATATATCTTGAAACTGCACTCAATCCAAATCCATCCCTATATATATAATCAAGTGCATTGTGTTATGCAAAGAAATATGAATTAATTAGTGAAAATGTACTTGTTCAATGACAAAATAGTTCAGATATAAACTAGTAAACATGATGTTGTTAATTTGATTCTTTCATGTGAATCAAATCACAATATGCTATAAGTACCTGCAGAGCATTGATCCCTAGCTATAGTCTACAAGAGCAGAATTTGGCGTGAAGTGAGAACAAGTTGACCATGGTATGTGTACATATTTTTTGACATCATCATCCATAAATGTCAAACAGACAATGTGTCAACGTAAGGTACTGCACAACTAAGCATATCTGATTAATTCTCATACAAAAAATGACAAAACAAATACTAGTAATTTATAGTAAATGATTCAGAAAAATACATAGTTTTAGTTTACAAACATGTGAAACAAACTAGACATATTCATGGAAAGCCTCAACTAGCAAATCTCATGTTTGCAAATATACCCCTCTTAATATTCCAAACTTCAAGAGATAAATGCATAATATACACATGAAAATATCCATGCTGATGATGATGATCATGAATCATTATGATGAAGGAAGGATAGGTTTTGTGAGAATTTTTTCTGGTGCTTGGTAGAATGATAGAGGTGGTGATGATGAAGGTGTTGTTGTTGTTGTTGAGGATGGTAATGATGATGACATGATGAGAGCATCCATAATATTATACTCCAAAGCTCGATGAACATCATTGTTATTGGCTTCTGCAGCCACAATTTCATGGATAAGATCATCATGATGATGATGTTGTGAATCAGAAGAAGAAAATGGGATGCTAGAAACAAAATTATCCTTAATGGTTTCAATTTCACAAACTTTTGGCACAATAGAATGATCAAGTTCCACCAAATGATGACTACTAGTGTCATATTGTTGTTGCTGTTGCGGTTGCGGTTGATGTTGCCATATTGTGTTTGGATTATTATTATTGATGAAATTGTCAACAATATTAAAGTTTTGGTGAATATTTGGATTGAGATGATGAATGAATGAGCAAGTATCAAATTGGTCAAAAGAAGATGAAATAAGAGTATTGGAGCAAGGAAGTGTTTGTGGCAAAGTTGGATTATGAAAATTGGCATTGAAAATGTTGTTGATATCATTATCAATATTGTTGATATGATCATTTTGATCTTGTAGGATTGGAGATGGAAGATTGATGGGAAAGTATAGACGATGATCTAAGTGATATTGATGATGAGAGTTGTTATGAAGGATAGGATTGTCATTTAATAAAGGGAAGAAAGTTTCATTTCTAGGACAGTGAATATGATCAGAAAATGTAGTTAAAGAAGGAACAAAATCATGTGAAAGTAGTTTCTTCTTTATGCTTGAATTCCAAAAGTTCTTCACTTCATTATCAGTTCTTCCTGGTAAATGTTTTGCTATCTGTGCCCACCTGTCCAAATCCAAACCATATGTACTCAAGAAGAAAAGTGAAAAAAAAAAAGTGATTATTATTATTATTGTTATTATATGAACAAACCTGTTGCCAAGAATGGTATGAAGTTCAATAATAAGAGCAGCTTCTTGAGGAGAAAAGCTTCCACGTTTCAAATCAGGTCTTAGATAATTAATCCATCTTAATCTACAGCTTTTTCCACATCTTTGCAAACCAGCAAGTTTAGGTACAGAACTCCAACAACCATGTCCATAAGTAGTGATGTAGTTGATGAGTTTTTCATCTTCTTCAGGTGACCATAAGCCTCTTTTAACTTTCTGTTTGTTGCAGCAAGAGTGATGTCCCATATTGAAGAAGAGGAATAATAATTAGGTTTTGTTTTAGCCCTAGCTAGGTTTATATAATATAAATGGTTGTGTGAAGAAAGAGAAGAGAGAAAAATGGATGGAATAATGGTGAAGAGAGAAGTGGTGAATTTAATGAGGGAGAGATGGAGCATTGTGGACCAGTTAGGGTTTGTAGCAAAGGGCTAAAAGCTGCAGTGTCACCCTGCAACATTTGTAGGCCCTATAATGGATTTTTTTTTCTTTTTATAATTTCACTCACTCTTAGATCAGATGGGCTAACTTGTACACGTGTCATCCATGCAGGCTGTGGGACCTATGTCCTAACAGATACACAGCTTGATTTATCAAGAGGAAAATATACTCTTGTGTGCAAATTTTTTCATGTCAAATACTGTATTTTGATCCTTGTTTATGAAATGTGTATCAATAGTACAAGATAAAAAAGTAAGAATAACATGTTTGGTTATGTTGATAGCTAAGTAAAGATTGTTCATTTTTAAAGGATGAAGAAAATATGAAAACAAACATATTATATGATATTTGATATTCTCTTTCAATTTAAACTGAGATACTATTGACTTTGAATTTATTCATTCTTATAATATTGTTAATGAGTAAATTGCAAATACCATAGAAATTAGAGATTTCATATTCATTTCTTTTAGAAATTTAATAGTTTCAAAGTTTAATATTTTCATATTACACTATTATAAATAATATATTTTATGATAAAATATTTATTTCAGACAACAAAAAATTAATGTATAATGGTAAGACGTATCATATTTTATTTGTTTTAAAAATAAAAAATCACATATTCTTCCGAATTTTAATATAATCGATAGAAAAAATAATGCAAGACATGCTTTGAATTTCAACTTACGTGGTTTATGTTTTTATTTTTTTATAAGTGAATTTTTTTTTAATTATTTATAAATTAAATGATCTATCTCTTTGATTTCTGTAAGAATTGAGAGATAAAATAATTAGATTTTAATATAAACGTACTCGTTAAATATATTTTAACCTAATCTTAACTAATATGTAGCCGCCATAAACTTGTATGCATCATTTTTTGGGATGAATTGCAAGACATTAAAAATCTTTAATGTTCTATCTTAAACAAAATATTTTTCCTGCCATTGCAACCTATCTCACATAATGGTGTTAGCGTTGTTGGTATATTTTTGGAATAACCTTCTTATATTATCAATCAAAGAAAACAACATTGCTTTCCTAATATTGAAAATTTTATTTCTAAACATGCTATAAGTTGTACACAAAAATGGTGAATTAATGCTAAATAATTGTAAGAAACATGACACGTTACTTTCAGTTATTTATCATTCACCATTTTTTTGCTTGAAACTTATTACCTCGGTTTTTTTTTCTTAAAACTGTGAGGTTTCCTTATTTTATTTTCTTTAATTAAAAAATAAAATACATTTCTCCTCGTTTTTTTAACATAACTGGGGGATTTTGTTACACAACTACAACAATAAATCTATATCTTATATTCATAAAGAAGCAAAGTTCAAGATATTGCCAACACATCAATCTACCACAAACTATCTACATCTACCACTATATATCTTATGTCCTTTCTTTTATTTTTATCTTTTTTTCCATGTAAACATTTGCTAAAGATAATGAAATCTTGGAACTTAAAAAAGTTTGAAAAAGTTCTCTACGATGGATTGTAAGTGTAAAAAAAATATGTTTGCTTCACTTTAAACAAGAAAGGAAGGTCAACCTTGAATAACTTATTAGAAGTTTGATGCATGCAAACCATAAAACTTTAAAAAAAAAACACACACAAAAGGTATGCAATAAAATCTAGATTACACCAAAGATTTGATGCTCTCTAAGAATAACAGCGACCATGATGAATTTGGATTTGTTGTAATCAATGTATTTTAATATAATGTGTAAACAATGTAATTAAAAAAAGCTTATTCACCTCAATTTTCAACTGAAATCGATGGTTAAATACTTTTTACCTCGGTTTTTGTCTTTAATGAGGAGATAAATATTCACGCCCTTAAACAAATCTCTGTCATTCAGTTAATGAGTATCAACGTTCAAGACACTATCATTAGTGATCCGCGTGAAACCTAAAAGACATTATAAAAGCATTCTGAATATCAAAAATTGATAATGAAACATGAAGCGCTTGAAACTATATACATCCACTACTATATATCTTCTTTTTTTTCTTGTGAAAGTATTTTCCATGAAAACTTTATGATTGATTGCAAGAGCAGAAAATTATTTAGGTTTAAGGTTGTGTTCCTAAATATTCGTTAGAGCAGAAAATTATATGATTTAAATATTTATTTTATTTATCTAACTCTTTTTTGTTTTATATCAGAAATAAATGCAATAAAAGCCATTGAGAGTATACTCACACCGAGCATTTGATCTTCCCCAAAATTAATTTTTAGTTTAATATTTTGGGTAAATAATTTAGTTTATAAACAAATTAATTTACTAATATTTTGTGTAAACAATCTAACGAGTATTTAAAAAATGAATTCATCTTATCTCTCAGTTTTGTTCATAAATCGAGAGGTATGTGACGCTAGTTTTGAAAATATAAAAAAGTTTTTGCTGAAGATGCAAACCATGTGCAGATAATCTTACCCCTTGATTTTTTAATAACTGAGGGATAAAATGACAGCTTTTCATAACGTATTTCGTCACCTCACTTCTGTAACCGATGTAAAATGCATTTCGCCTCCAAGATTAAATGTGTTTTTTTAGTAGTATCATCAATCCAATGACGTGTTATAGATGAATGCCAATCCTCTCAGTCATCAACGAAATTAAATTCAGATAAAACTAAGAAGGATGTTGAACTTATAAATGAAGTGACTTATATCTTTAAGGTTTTGAGTAGAGAAGAGGCGTATTTCTCTATTATGATCTTAGAATATTACTCTTATTATTGCCCACACATGTCTCGACTCTCTAATAAATAGTATTAGGGTATGTTTGGAGGAGAAGGGAGAAGATGACTTAGAAAATAAAAAAAAATTTAGTAGAAATAATTGAAAGATTTTGATTGAGAGATTTTAGAAAGTTTGTTTTATTTATAATACTTAAAACCCTCTAATTTTAGAGAATTCAAAATTTGTATGGATAGGAGATTTTAGAAGACTTACGTAAAATTTATAAACATATTTTATATTGTTATAGTATTATAAAAATTAAAACTACATAAATAATTGCCATTATTTAATCTTTCTATATAAATTTATTATTTTAAAAATGTTAAATATTTTTCTATATTTTTTACAAAACTCCTCCTTAAGTTCAAATTCTCAAACAAATCTTAAAATCTACGTTAAATGACGTGTTAAGGGTAAATAATTAAATATCACATTCTCAAAAAATAACAAATATATTTCTTCATGTCATACACCAATTTTAAAATACCTTTACAAAGTGTATTTATGTGGCAAAATAACAAATTCTTATGGCAAGAGTGAAAATGTTTTATATTAATAGTGCATATATCTTATCTCTTAAATTAATACCTCAATAACTAAATCTAATCTTTTTAAAAAGTTGTAAATGATTGAAGGTAATTTTTTTCTCTTTAATAAATATATTATAAGCTAACTAGAAGATACCTATTTTATTGGACATGTTGCATGCATGTATAAAGTTAAAGATCTTGAATGAAAGCATCTGATTTAAAGGTAGACTTGGAAAAACAAGGGTGGCCTAGGTCTTGTATAATACATGATCAAAATAGTTTCTTTTTTTAATTAAAATAATTTTATTAGTTTTTTTTTATATTTTTTATCTTCAATCAAAAGTTGCGGTCCTCCAACATCTCGGGCCTCATCAATATAATTAACATCTTTAAATATTTTACTTTCTTTAATTTTTTTATCTGACTTTACTTTATTAAACTATATATTATTTAACTTAATAATAAATGTTAATTAACCAAACGTTTTTAATGTATTGTCACTATTTTGGTTTAAAAAAATTAAAACAAAAATAATTTACAAAAATATTTACAAATTATTTATTAAATATATTATCCGATCTATTTCGCAATTTTTGAACTCATATTCTTGTGGGATATGACTCACTGTCGAGAGTCTAATTATTATTATTATTATTATTATTATTATTATTATTATTATTATTATTATTATTATTATTATTATTATTATTATTATTATTATTATTATTATTATTATTATTTTGAATTAAAAGGAAGATTGGATTAATTCAAAAAATCAATAGAGTATAAGACGGTCGCATGAATCCACACCACAAAAAAGACAAAGTAAAGGTCGTAAGTATGAAACTAAGGCATCATCATCTTTGTTATACCAACCCCTATACACAATCATATTTATTATACTATCAGCTATTTTTGTCTTATCTAAAATGTTACCGTAACAAATATCATTACGGTATTTCCACACACCGTAGATTGTTTTCGTAGCAGCTAATTTCAGAATGGATTATCTTCACCCCTTATCCTTGGTACTCTTACTCAACCATTCTAATTCCTCATCCCAAACATGCGGAGTATGAGCAATCTGAGACCATTCGAGAATCTTTGCTCAAATACAGCTCGTTTCAAGACATCCAAACAACAAATGGTTAATGGATTCCTCTTCTTGATTGCACAAACAACATTTATCATCTGCAATTATAATGTAGCGATGGAGGCGATGTTTTGTTCCCATTCTACCATGGCATACACGCCATATAGTCATTTGAACACTCGAACGAGCAACATTACAACGGAAAATTTTCCTCCAAGTTACTTTGAGAATATCTTTACACGTAGCCTTATAGACATATTTCATCTTAAATTTTTGTTCATTAACATATGATCCTAAATCTGCTGAATGTCAGCCACAACAGGCCTCTGCTTGATGATATTCTTCATAATCCAGGAGGTGTTATTTCCAATGTTAATGTTCATCAAGTCCTCTTTTTTCAGATAATAAGTATGTATCCACTTAACC